TGGAAAATAGAAAATATTATATAACTAAAATCTTCTGGTTTTGTTGTCCTAAAGCCTAAAGCCCTTAGAGAAAAGGAAAGAAAGAACTCTGACCAAACAAAGCATTTGGGAGAGAAATCACCCAGGCCTAATGAAAAGCCCTCCACTAGAATTAGAGCTAAGTGACCTTGCAGAGGAATTCCGGGGGTGGGATTGGGGAATGTGTGTTTTTACAAGCACGCCAGGGGATTTTTGTGCACACTGAAGTTAGAAAATTCGTGGGCTAAATTGGTGGCTCCCTGCCAGGCTGCACAGTTGAATCACCTGAGAATTTAGCTTTCTGCTGCTGGCCTCACCCCAGAGATCTATAGATTGGGAGTGGGGAGGAAGCCTAGACAGTTGATTTTTTTGTTTTAATCTTTCCAGGTGATTTTAATGATTAGTCAATTTTGAGAACTCTTGGTAAAGTTTATTTCCTTCCCCATAACCCTTTCAGACATTGTACCACTGTAAAACATGACAAATAACTTTTTCTTTTTTGAGACAGAGTCTCACTTTGTTGCCCAGGTTAGAGTGAGTGCCATGGCGTCAGCCTAGCTCACAGCAACCTCAAACTCCTGGGCTCAAGCGATCCTGCTGCCTAAGCCTCTTGAGTAGCTGGGACTACAGGCATGAGCCACCATGCCCGGATAATTTTTTCTATATATATTAGTTGGCCAATTAATTTCTTTCTATTTTTATAGTAGAGACGGGGTCTCGCTCTTGCTCAGGCTGGTTTCAAACTCCTGACCTTGAGCGATCCACCCGCCTCAGCCTCCCAGAGTGCTAGGATTATAGGCGTGAGCCACTGCGCCCGGCCTAAAATGAACTTTTAGAATATTATTTAAGGTGTCTTCCCAACACACATATTTCTTCTCTCTCTACTTTATTAAATTTATTTTCTAAATTGACTAGAAAAAATTAAAATGTGGGGGTGAGTTGGAGAACCTATATCTAGGGCAGTGGTCTGCAGAATATGGTCCCTGGATCAGCGATATCAGCATCATCACTCAGGAACATGTTAGAAATGCAAACTCTATGTCCCCCTCTAGAGCTACTGAATGAGAAACTCTGGCGACAGACAGGTGGGGAGGAGCAGCAATCTGTAGTGTAACAAGCCTGCCAGGTGATTTGAGCCATCCTAACTGCTGAGAACCAATGATTCTCTTAGAGAGAAACTTTAAAAATGCCTGGGACCCACCCTCCCAGATAGTGGCTCCATTGGTCAGGTGTATGGTTCCTCAGATGATTATAACCTACAACGAAGTCTGAGAACCTTCTAGGCTTCAAAGAACTCCCTGTCCAGAGCAGAACTGTCTTTCTAAACTAGAAGTGAAGAAAGAAAAACGAGCATGTGCATTTTTAAAAAAATAAAGACAAAATAGGATTTCAAGGTTCAAGCATAAGTTTGTTTTAACAGTGCATATAACAATTTTAGCCAATATTTTTTTTTTTTTTTTGCCAAGTGTTGCTGTAGTGAATAGCCAATATTTATGTTTTTATTATAATGGGCAGTAGTCCCTAATCTATAGGAGACTAAGAATATCCCTGTAATTGTAGTTGTATTTGTGATATGTGATGATTGAAATTATTATATGAAGACCAATAAATGAATTTGATAGCATTTTAAGTGAGTAGGAATTTTATTGTTCACTGTAGCACCTATATACATTTGAAAAATAATAATATATGTAGAACTCTTACTTTTTCAGAAAATGTTTAAGATTCATATGAACTTGCTTGTAATACTTTCAGGAGGCCAAAGGCCTATCAGTTGAGGACCATTAAGGGTTTTTATATTTTTACCCCAAAGAGAAAGAGTAAAAAGATTACATTGATTTTTTTTTACTACTACCTTTCCATGTGTGACTGCCCAGATTTATAAAATCCTTCCAGAAAGTTTGGGACTCACTGGTAAATCAAATTATGCTTACCATATTATATTCTCATTCTTTGCAAATTATCTACTTACACTGTTTATGATATTCTCTAATAATTATAATATTAGATTTATTATATCATCACATTTCTTAGTTATGCTAGAAATTAAAGCACTTACTATATAAGCCCGATATAAGTTATTTTTAAATGGAATATTTCTATCCTACCATAAATAAGACATATTTTTCTAATTATAACTCTAATTTCTCTGTCATGTATTGTGATATTTGCTCAGTTTTAGGCCAAATATCACAATTTCCACTCCCTTCTTTCCTTCTTTTTTCCTCTTCCTTCCTTCTCCTCTTATTTCCTTCCTTCCTTTCTCTAAAGTATAATTCTTAAAACCTAGCTAAATTTAGCTGCATATTTTTCTAATAATTTAAGTAAATAAATTAATAAATAATTGAAGTTAATAATTTCAGTTTAGTTGGATATTTTTCTAATAATTTAAACCTCATAGTGACATGGATGAAGCTTTCTTTCACCTTGCTAAACATTTTTTATTTATAAAAGAATTTGTTGAAGGCTGAAAAATTCAGCCAATTAATTAACTGAAGGACTCAATTTACCTGACATTAAAAAAATGTAACTCTTGTTTTCGTTGAGGTTTGTTGAATTTTGTAGTGAATTTCCATACATACCCTAATTGTTTCTACTTTACGTACTGTGTGAGTATACTAATATACTTCTTTTGAAACTAATACAAAGACTAGATCAATGGCCTGGATTGCAGCCAAGAAATGGCAGCAGAGCATCACTTTTGCCTGGGAGTGTGGATTTTTCCTCTGGCTGCCTAAGCTCTCTGAGTAGTCTGCAGGCGTGGGGTCAGTGTTGCCAGGGCCATGTCTGGTTGTCAGTTTCTCTCTGTGTATTGTACCTGGGTTTTTAGTGATAAGCTAGGGCACTTCAGGAAGGAAGTGAATGTCATGGTAAGAAGTGAATACTTCATGCGGCCAGACATTAACCCAGGGCCACCTTGGCCACTGGTGGGGTGACAGACAGGTCACCCTCCTATTTAGCTTCCTTTTGAAAGTTCAGGTTAAATATCACCACCCATAGGACCTCTTCATAGTCAGCAGTTATCACCTCTGGTTTTTTCGCACTTTCCTTGTTACTACAAATACCCCTTTATTCCAGCATTTATCACATTTCCTTGGAATTATTTGTGTATATCTCCATCTTTCTCACCAGACCACGGGCACCTCAGGATGGTGACTTCTTATCCTTAGACATAGAAAGTGTCCTATAATTACTAATGATCCAATGGAACACTAGCCACATGGCTACCACACTCTGATGGGCATGGAGACAACATGCAAAGTCATGTTGTTGTCTGATTCTACACGGCATGTCCTCTATCACAACCTTCCCCACTCTTTTATTACATCTCCTAGAATCAGCAATACAGACACTTATAATTTTCTGAACATATCATGTTATTTCATGCATCTCTGTGCTTTTACATTTTCAATTTTACACACACCCACTTTGGGGAGGATGTGCTGGCAAAACCTTACCATTTTTTAAAAGTCTCAGTTCATGTATCATCTTCCCCCAAGAAAATCTGGCATCATTCTCTACTCTTCCTTCTCCCAAAGTTGCATTAGATAGGCCTCCTCTGTGCTCTACAATATCCTTTCTCTTAATTTACTGGTCAATTTAATCCACACTCTCCATTTCTTCTAGAAAAAATAATGACTCACGCCCACAGCAAACTGAATGGTCTTCAACAGTAGGATGCACTGAAATGCCCACACACTTCTGCACCTAAGCTGGGTGCTTGCTGAGATCTATTGTATTTGTTCGCAAACCTACTTATGCCAGTTATGCTTGTTAGTGTAATTAAGTAATTTAATTAGATGTGACCTAAGTGAATAGCACATGAGTGAAAAGAGCTATGCTTTCTATGAAAACAGATGGATGCTTTGGAAAGACAAGCTGCTAGACATTGCACTGTTGGCAAGACTACAGACAGACATGGGGGAGGGGTGTGGAGTAATCTTGAAAGAATCTCCTCTCAGATTTTCTTCTATGCCCTTATTACTATACTAACTATGCTAACTATAAAATTCCAAATTGGAAATAGTTGAAGATGCCTAATGAAAGTGGTTTATGGAACTCTTATCAGTAGACCTATATCACAATAGCAGTCCTTAGTCCCATATTAAGAGATTAGTGAAGTATATGTGTTTAAGTCCAAATAAAATGTCTAAAGGTGTGCACGTGTCATTTTTACCTGTTCCAATCATCTATCGTATTGAAGTGATGGGGAGTGGGGGGAATCTGTTTCCTTCAATAGATTGTGAGTTTCTTGAAGACAGAGACCACGTCTTGCTCATTTTGGTAGCACCTGTGCCTGGGAAGAGTGTTTGGATCCTGGAGTACTTATTCTTTAGTACTAAGTGCTTCTTTACTCAGTGGAGCGCTGCACTTATTTTTGTATAGGGGATTTCAAGTCTCTTTTAGCATTTATGCATTACAGTCACTAGGGGGCAATGTAGTCGCATTCCTTTGTAATGACCGTCGAGGGGCGGTGCTTCCAAGCTAGATCCGCTCACATGTGATGAGCCCCACCCCGCCCCAAAGATTTGGAGAACCTGTGGCATAAACAGCTCACGGACACTGGCATTTTTGTTTGTTTGGTTGGTGCTTTTTGTTTGTTTGTTTTTTAAGGAAACTTCACCTTATGAATCACTGGCATTCTTTGTATATGTTTCCCCAGTTTAGTTGTCAGAATTGATTGATTCTACGAACAGACAGATCTCAACCCTTCTCCCTTCCTCTGAATGAGTCTTCTCCCAGTTCCCATGTGTCAGAATCATAGACTCCAAAAATGAACCTTCTGGTTGTTCATCCCTTTTCAGAAGGAATATCCTCTCATCATAAGAGGAAGAGGATGGTGAGATGGAAAAAGAATTCAAGACATTGCCCTTAAAATGAAAGACCCTCAGAAAATTAAAAAAAAAAAAAAGAATGTTTTACTTTTCTGTAAATTCTGTAAACTGATGATCTGTGATGTTAAAGGATCATAAAACACCCACCTTGAGTCCAAGGAAACTGAGGCCTCCATTTTCACAAGTCCTTGCAATAGCAGAAGAATATTCCAAAGTACTGTTAGAGAATTAATTAAATTTAAATCAAGAGAAGCAGTACAGTTTATAGTTATCACAGGGTCTTGAAATAGCTGACCTCCAGGCTGAGTGACTCAGTGAACAGAGTATCTGGGGACAGAGCATTTGAGGAATTGACTGATCTGGGTTTGAGTCTCAACTCTGCCCATATCCAGTGACTGTGGTCAGATTACCTCCTTTCCCTGAGCACCAGTTTTACATTGCTCATGTGTAAAATACAGAAATAGGGAAATTGGAAAATGATCTCAAAACCTTTTCCAGGTCTAAATGATCATACATTTCTTTTCCAGGAAGTAGCCCTTAGAGATTTGCCCTTAACTTCCTTCTGTCCCCAGAACACAGCTTTTTTTTTTTTTTTCTTAAGATGCAATATGAAAAAAACACAATCATGCTAATTTGCTATTTCTCAATCCACACTTTAATTTACTTTCTCTTAGGGCAGGATCTGGTAGGGTCCAAGATATGGTTGGAACTAATATAAAAGGATTTTTCCATGAAATTAGAACAGGATGTTGCTGTTTAAACTTCACATAAATTCAAAATGTGTTAGTTTGTGTGCAGAACAGAAAGTCAAACCCAGTATTTGCCCCCTAGCTGATTACATTTGAAGAGAGTGCTGGCAGTTTACTCAAAATGAGTAAGAAAATAAACAAATAGACTGGCATCTCAGACTGTACAAACTTGCAGGTTTGCCTTTTAACTTTTTGACTCCTAGTTTATTTTTCTTTCCCACCTTCCCATAGAGAAGAGCAATCAATGAATGGATACTCAGATCAGGTGTCTGGAGAGCTGGCAGTCTTCCAGAAATACAATTAGGTATGAAATCTCCATCCCTCACCTCCTTACAATATGGCTCCTCCAGCCCTGTCACAGAAATGAGAAGTGTGGCCCTTGTGTGTCTTCTTGGTTCTTTTAAGGGTATTGTCATATCCATCTCTTTGTGGCATTATGCAAGGAGTCAGTTAAGGTACAAGGGGTGTGAGGCCCAGTGACTACCCCCCAGGGTGCTTGTCACTATAGCTTCTCTCCTTACCTCTGCTTGTCGTTGACATTTGGGTCCTTTCAGAGAGTAGCCTCATACTGTGACTTTTCTTTCTTCTTTCTTTCTTTTTGAGATAGAGTCTCCCTCTTGTCAGCCTGCTAGAATGCAACGGCGTCATCATAGCTTACTGCAACCTCCAACTCCTGGGCTCAAGGGATCTTACTGCCTTGGCCTCCCAAACAGCTAGGATTACAAGCATGAGCCACTGCACCTCCCAGCCTCATACTGACCTTTAATAAAACCCTAGCCAAGAATTCCAGACCCTGTCCCTTAAAAACTGAAAAAAATTGGCCTGGCCTGGTGGCATGTGCCTATAGTCTCAGCTACTCTGGACGCTGAGGCCAGAGGACTGCTTGAGCCCAGGTGTTTGAGGCTGCAATGACAGAGAGAGACATTGTCTCTAAATAAATAAATACTTGAATGAATAATTTTTTTAAAACCCCCAAAACAAAAACCTTACACCCCAAGGTCTAGGCCCTGAACCTCCTCAACGTGTGTCCCCTTTTTCTCCTTCTGCACAGCGTCCATCCCCAGTTGTGGAACACACAGAAGTGTCACTATAGGAATACTTTTGGGAATGGACTGAGCACGTTGCTGGGCTTCTGTTGGCCTCGCTTACCTGACTTTGTGAGGAGGGGCAGCGCCTCAGCTGGCTCATCTGTCACAGGAGGCCATTGTGAGCTGGAAAGGAGTGAAGGCATGCACATCCTTAGCATGCTGCAGAGTGAGCAGGCAAGTCATGAGTCTCACGCACTTATCACCGTGGGCGATGCTGCTGGTGTAGAGTCTGCACCGTGGATGCTGACAGCCTGGGTTCAGATGGATCCCCTCACTTGGAAAATAATCTTGGGAAAGTCTGAAAGCCTCAGTTGTCTCGTCTGTAAAATGGGGAGAAAGCAGGACTTGCTGCTTGGGCCAGGGGCAGGACGCAGGTGGGGAAGAGCAGGTGGGGATTCAGGCAAAGCTCAGCAGAGCGCAGTGTAAGGAGCAGTGAATGTTTAACGTCGTTTTTATTCCTGTGTATGATGACGAGCTGCTCATCCGTGCCTCCTGAGGACCATGCCAACCAGGCATCCTTGCCCATGTCACCAAATAAGCTCTTGGGCCCCAGAGGCAGGAAGACTGCCTTGAAGGGGTGCAGGGGTGGGGGTGGGAGGTAGAGGATGCTCTGGGACCCTCTGAGCGTGGGGATGTCGAGAGCGAACTTGAGCCCGGCCGGGCGCCGGGCGTGCCAGCCTGCCGCCTGGACTGCAAGGTCTCGCCTGGAACCTGGGCTGGCGCGGCGCGCGCCCGCGACTCAGGGGGCCGGGCCGGGGACCCCGCCCAGGCGGCGGCGGCCGGGTCCCCGGGACTGGGCGCCGCCGACGGGGCGGAGAGGAACGCGGCGGGAGGAGGAGTAGGAGAAGGGGGCTGGTCAAGGGAAGTGCGACGTGTCTGCGGAGCCTTTTTATACCTCCTTCCCGGGAGTTGGGCAGCCGCCGCCGCAACCCGTGCGTCCTTCCCTCTCCGCTCCGGGGACCTGGGCTCTGCCGCAGCCAGCCAGCATGTCGGGGGTCAAGAAGCAGAAGACGGTAGGCTTCGGGTAGCCTGCCCTCCCTCGCCCCTCCAACCGAGCCGCGCCAGCTCCCGGGTACCAGGGTCCCACCCTCCCCGAGAGGAGGGAGCCGGCGTGGCGCGGAATGAGTGTCGGGAGGAGGAGGAGGAGGAGGAGGAGGAGAAGGAAGAGGAGGGAAAGGAGGAGGGCAAGGCTTGGTCCGGGATTCCCGGGAAAGCCCTCGCCAGGCAGTCCCTCTCCGCCCCGCGCCTCTTTGGGACCTGCGCTGGTTGGGGTTGTCACGCCCGGGAGCCACCTCTTCGAGCTTGCAAAGCGGGCCTGGATCAAGAGCCAGGACCAGAGATAGGAAAGTCCCTTTCTTCCCCGAGAACGGTTCCAGACGCGCCTTTTCTGCGGTGGGATGCCCGCGCGCGGGCGGAGTGGGTGGCGGACCCGGCTGCCTCCGGCCCTGCCAGGTCCCGTCCCTGGGCGCACGTCGGCGACAGTCGCTGGGGGTTTGTCTATGGAACCGCCTTGGAGTGGACTGTAATGATAGACTTTCATAGAGGAAACAGCAATTATCTAGTCTAACCGGAGGAAATTGCATTTCTACACTGGCAGGACTTAACCCTCTAGCTCGATTTGGCTCCCTGTTGCTATCTGGTGGCACCTCGAGTTCAGCAATGGGGCGGGGGCGGGGGGCGGGTAGCCCTCGGTTTGGTGGAGTAAGAAGAGGGGCCTGTTTTGAGGGGCTGTCGTTTTATCCAGCATTAATCTGGGCTGTCCTTGTTTCATGGAAAATATGAGCGCATGCCAAAGAGAAAAGCTCCCTTCCCATGCAGCAGCATGGGCGCCTATAAATTTTGCATTCTTAAAAGTGGCAGCAATTCTGTTGTCAATTAATTATACCCTCACAAAGCTGAAAAATAAATGGCAGCAGTAGTCATAGACCCTTAGAGTCGGAAGGAGCCTTCTAGACGGCATTGGGCTGCCCCAGCTGTGGCCAGCAAGCCTTGCTGAAGTCCCACTAAAGTCGCACCTGGAAGTCTGGCTGTTGAACATTCATCTTTAGCCGCCACACTGCGAGCCCTGGGTGATCGTGGTGGTTACCGGACCGGCTGACCGCTCTCCAACAGCCAGACTTATGCGGGGCACAAGTAGGTGCCCAATAAATGTCTATTACTATCCTGATATAATGCGTGTTGCTGGAATGTCTTTGGGGTGTATTTGTGGTGGGCTGCGGGAGAAGTAAGGAACCAAGTAGGAAAGGAGCATGGAGGGGCCATTGTGGGGGGGCTGGAAGTGTCACTGGAACAGCATGAGAAAGGGTAGGTGGGGTTTCAGGAGGCCACAGCGGACCAGCAGGAGGGTCCAGGAAGAAGGTGGCATCAGTTTGGGAAGGGACAATAGTCAGGGTCCAGCTGCCTTTCGTAGGGATGATTTTAAAGTGAGAAGACTCGTAGTACTGTAATATATTTTTAAAATAATGAAGAAAATCACTTGTATTTTATTTCTGTTTCATTTGATTAATTTCTGTAAAATCCTAAATGGTGTCTTCTAAATGGCAAGCTGCTGTACTGGTACCATTTTATATCAGTGGGGTTTTAATTCTTACCTCACTGCTCGCATCAATAATTTCTTCTCAGGCTGGGTGTGGTGGTTCACACCTGGAATCCTAGCACTCCGGGAGGCCGAGGCAGGAAGATCGCTTGAGGCCAGGAGCATGAGCAAGAGCGAGACCTGCTCTCTACAGAAAATAGAAAAATTAGCCAGGTATGGTGGTGTGTGCCTGTAGACCCAGCTACTTGGGAGGCTGAGGCAGGAGGATCGCTCTAGCCCAGGAGTTTGAGGTTGTAGTGAGCTATGATGATGCCACGGCACTCTAGCTGGGGTGAGACAGAATGAGACACTGTATCAAAAAAAAAAAAAAATTCCTTCTCAGTTCTGATGGAGGGCTTTGGTGAGCATTAGTAAGAAAGGGACAGGTGCTCTCTCCTTTTCATGCTTCTAGTCAGCAAGAGCCTGTGCAGTGGAGAGTTTGAGAACAGGGAATTTACAGATTGATTGTGGGGACTCTGCACAGTTAAAAGCGATGAGAAATTGGAGAGCTGGAGGGTTTGAGTTTTGTATTTACACATGTTGAACCTTCTTTTTTATTGGTGCATGCATGTGTATATGTGTGTGTGTTTTATATATAGGATTAAATTAACACCTGAAATGGCAAATTGAAACAGGACTTTTCTGAATTTTTTTTTTTTTTGAGACAGAGTCTCGCTTTGTTGCTTAGGCTAGAGTGAGTGCTGTGGCGTCAGCCTAGCTCACAGCAACCTCAAACTCCTGGGCTCAAACAATCCTTCTGCCTCAGCCTCCCAAGTAGCTGGGACTACAGGCATGCGCCACCATGCCCGGCTAATTTTTTCTATATATATTAGTTGGCCAATTAATTTCTTTCTATTTATAGTAGAGACGGGGTCTCGATTTTGCTCAGGAGGTTTGGAACTCCTGACCTCGAGCAATCCACCCACCTCGGCCTCCTCACCGCGCCCGGCCTCTGAATTTTTATTTTAGTGTAACATAGTTATAATCCAGGCACCAACTCAAGTTCCCGAAAGGGCCAGAGAGATACTATTGGTACTATTTACAGCAAGCCAGTTGTAGTATCATGTGAAATTTCTCAAGCTTTAAATGTTAATTCAAACATTGTGGGTTTTTTTGTTGTGGTTTTGTTTTTCCAAAATATATTTTAAAACTTTGTGGACCACAATAAAACCTACCCACACATGTGACCTCTGACCTAGGCAAGTATTTGGGAAGCGAGTCTTACTGACCTTGGAAGCTAGCCTAGGAGTGAGGCTGGGCTGAGCTTTTTAGGAACTTGTGGGAATCATGACATTGTTTTCTACATTGTCAACAGAGGACAGCTAATTCACACCGCACCACTGCAGTGACCTCAAATAATTGTTGAGCCCCTACTGTGTGCCAGGTGGTATACTGGGGTGGGCTGGGGGGCAGGCTGGACCCATCTTTTCCAGGCATTTTTGCCACCCTCTCTAGATGAACATAGCCTTTCAGTTCTGACCACTCCAGGGAGAGTATGTAGTTTAGGTTTAAATGAAAGAGTGTAGGATGATTTTGTCATAAGATTGAGGAAAAAATGAAATGTTCTTTTATAAAGGAAGGTAGCACATTCCTTCTCTGCTAGGCATCCTTACCATGGAAACCAGAGAAACAGCTAGCAGTCACATCCCTCCCTTCCACCCTCGCCTAACCTCCAACCCTGGCCACCCTCCCACCTCCACCCCCTACGCACATGCGCAGATACCCAGGAGCAGGACAGGCAGACAGCCTGTGGACGACTGGGAGGGAGGGAGGCAAAGGCTTAGGCCCTTCCTTTGCACCATTTCTTGGGTTAGCATTTTTCAAGGCCCACAGACAATGTTGTTATGTTCTGGAGATACCCAATCTAAAAAAATCGAGACATTAAATTATTGTCTAAAGGATCAAATAAGCCAATGATTGGGAAGGAATGAAAGCTTATTCCAAACTGTAAAGCTCTTCAGAGTTGTCAATGATCATCTACCTTTTCATTATTTTTAGAATTCTATATAATAACCACATTAATTCCCTGGGAGCAGCTACTTTTACAACTATCTAAAGATGCTACCTAAAGTAAGACGTGAATTTCTAGGTGAGTAACCATTGGAAGGAGGCAGAAACAAAGCGATTCTGGAGGAGGCCAGGCACTCAGACACACTGGATGTCATCTCATCCCCACTGCATGCCTCGTCTCAGGAAACAGCATTTTCTCTAGGGAAGGACAAAGGCCAGGGGCAGGGCACGACTTAAATTCAGGTCTATGGAACATCAAGACCCATGTTCTTGCTCCCTCTGCACTTCTGTTTCAGGCTGTAATCTCTCTGGCCCATAGTTTCCTTGTCTGTAAAGTGGAGGTAATAATGACTGTCCCTTACAATTGTCCTGAGGGGTAAATAACTCCTAAAAAGTGTCTTGCATAGTGTCAGACCCAGAGTTAGTGCCGCATATACAGTAACCACTGTTACTGTTATTATTAAACTATACTGTCATGGCTTGGCATACATAAGGAGAAAAAAGCCCAGGTCATATTGTTTTAAAGGCTAAGTAAATGACAGCCATCAGAATATTTAATAAGGAAAAACAAATGCAGAAGTATAGAGGTGAAATGTAAATCCTTATTGTAAAAACCTGGTGAGAAGACACAGGCTGAGAGTTAGTGTAGAGGTAGCAGGGTATCCCCAATACCAGCAGGCTGTTGGAAGCAACATTGGCCAAGAAAGACAATCTATATATAAGGTAAACATTGGACTAAGTTCTCTCCACCCTTCTAGTGCCTTCAACTGTTTCTAAATCTACTTTAAAACTAATGTTTCCAGCCTAATGCAGAGGTGCAGGCCCATAGTTCCAGCTATCCCTGAGGCTGAGGCTGAGGCTGGAGGATCACTTGAGCCCAGGAGTTTGAGGCTGGAGTGAGCTATGATTGCACCTGTGAATAGCCACTGTACTCCAGCCTGGGCAACATAGGGAGAGCCTCTCTCTAATAAGTAAATAAATAAATAAGTTTTCCAATTCA